CCCACTTCATATTGCAAGATCTGGGATGCATCACCAGTATGTCAAGGCTCGAGTATGAGATGTGGTAATGGTGCTGTGGTGACGACAGAGCATAACTTCCACCCTACTACTCCTCGTTCTGGAGGTGACCATGAGTACTGTCCAGGTATGCCTGCTGGTGAGTATTGTGGCAACATCAATGGCGAAATGGCTCTATTCCTCATCGAAGGAGACGTGTTCTTTTTCGATTACCGATATATTCATGGGGTAAAGGTTGACCTGAAGGAAGTCCCCTTCCATCTGTACAACTGCGAGGAGTTCGTGCCCGATTACTCAAGTTGGCAGATGGAGCGTTTAGCCCGAGAGTTGGGTCTGACCACCGATCAGCTTCGTCAGAAACTTACCATCACGTATCGTCGATCTAGTGATAGCTTCCACTTGTATTGGGAGCCGAATGTCTCGACAAGTATGTATCATGACGAGTGTTGAGCCCGAGAATGGTCGTCATCATCATCACGGTTACTGAAGTGCTTTTTCCTGAGCTTGTTGTCTGCTATGCTCCTCTCAGAGCTGTCTATCACCTTTTCTTTCGTCTAAGTCGATGAAATACTACTGGCTGTACTTCTTTTTTTCCGAGAGGTTCCTAGCGTGAACGCCATGTGGATTGCACGGTACGGTCATGCGCAGCTGGCGTCTTCCAGCTTTAATCTGTGCGACCTTTGGTTGCCTATCTGAGCATTATGCTCTGCTGTGTGGCTCGTTTTTTCCCTTCTACTCAACTTGGTATGTGTAATGCTTTGAGTTCGAGTGAGGTTAAACCGGAGTTCGTAAGGGAGGTTTGTCATGGACTATAAATCATAGTTTTGTCTCTAGTAGCAACATTATCGTTTCATCCCCAGTGCTACTGATACAGCATTCAGGGTTTCGGAAATTCATTTGACACTCGCTGGAACACTCCTTGCTATGCGTTATCACCGATCTCTGCTGTTGCTCAGTCTTAGCCCGTGATTCGGAACTCGAAGACAAGAATGGCTCAGTATCCGATAATGGCTCAGTCGAGCGAAGCCGTTCGGTGCCCCGCTCCCTTCGTTCCTTCATACCAGGCTCTGCAGTAACAGCCTCCGAATGAGCGGGCTTACTCCCATCCTTCGGCGCCTCCGGACACTCGCTATATCTCCAAGCTCACTGTGATCGCTCCAATGACCGCTGAATATCACCCACTGACCGGGGTTCTGCATCCACCACTCCCTTTCATGTCACTGATTTCGCCAATGGAACTTCGAGGTTGAGCCGAGCTACCTTCGAGGTGCTGCAATGATTCAGCATAGATTGAACTTACTTCTCCCGAGCCTGGGAACCTTCATCGGAGTGGCCATTTTCGTGCGGCCCCTTCATAAGCTGTATCTGCGCCTCCTAAGCCGAACTTTCGCGCGTGCATGCGGAACGCTTAACGGCATAGGACAATCTCCGTCCCGACTTGTCACATCTCGGAAGCTCTGTAACACTGATAACTTGTCAAATATTCATTCAGCAGCCTCTTCCAGAATATTGGAGGCTGTTGATAGTGAGTATATACACGTATTCGCCTTCTTCCCCCCACTTTCCCCCTTCTTTGAGTGTTTCTTCTCTCCCTCTCGTCCTGATTCCCCTCCAGTCTAGCGCAGTGGTGAAGCGATGGATTTCATGAGCCGTAGGTTGTGTGTACGGCCCCCTGCGAGGTTGCAAGTATGAGAATGATGCAATCAGTGTGCGAGTCACAAAGATTGCGAGACCGGAATTTCTGTGTCCTAGGTCTTCCACGTTTCCTATGCAATACGGCCTTGGCATATGTGGGGGCATCACACCACAAACGAGATGAAGCTGAGCTAACGTATCGACGCAAACTGCATCATTATTACATGCACATTAGAGTATCCCAGAGGAACAGGTGGAAGTCAGTCGAGATGATTATACTTGTTCCCAATTGCGATAAGCATGAACCGGAGTGGCATTTCGTTTGTCGCCCCGGAGTGAGCTAGACACAGAATCTTAGCTGGTAACAACGCGATTGTCTACATTTCCAAACCAAGGCATGGTGTAGAGTGAAGTTCATTTCATAATTTGATCAGCTCAATTAGCGTTGTAGTTCTTTTACGCTCTTTCATGTCTATTTTCGCTCACAAGTGGATCGTGCTATCAGTGGTTTCTGCTTCGGTTACCTCCTGTTTCTCGTCATCTGTTCAAGATGACTATTGCCGGAGATTTGTTGGTCCTGATTCCTATTGTGACCATTCAATCTGCCACGGTAGTCTCAATAGCTGTACCGAGTCCGCGATCATCAACAGTGTACTTGGACGACTGATGTACCAGGCTGATGCTGATGTTGGAGACTCGGATGTTAGCATCTCGAGTGGTGCAACTGGTGTTCAAACCATGCTTGTTACGAACTGGGATGACTACTGTCGTGACAAGGTTGGTGCGGCATCTTATTGTAAAACGTGGGACCGGTTTCCAGTTTGTCAAGGATCTGATGTGAGCTGTGGTGACGGTGAAATTGCCACTTCTACTATTCCGGAAACTACCCGAGCTGCTGGTGATAAAACTACTGTTCCAGTGACTACGACACGTTCGGCTGCAGTGCTTACGACTAGTGGTGGAACGGTTAACTGGGATGAATATTGTCAGAAGGAAGCGGGACCCACTTCATATTGCAAGATCTGGGATGCATCACCAGTATGTCAAGGCTCGAGTACGGGGTGTGGTAATGGTGCTGTGGTGACGACAGAGCATAACTTCCACCCTACTACTCCTCATTCTGGAGGTGACCATGAGTACTGTCCAGGTATGCCTGCTGGTGAGTATTGTGGCAACATCAATGGCGAAATGGCTCTATTCCTCATCGAAGGAGACGTGTTCTTTTTCGATTACCGATATATTCATGGGGTAAAGGTTAACCTGAAGGAAGTCCCCTTCCATCTGTACAACTGCGAGGAGTTCGTGCCCGATTACTCAAGTTGGCAGATGGAGCGTTTAGCCCGAGAGTTGGGTCTGACCACCGATCAGCTTAGTCAGAAACTTACCATCACGTATCGTCGATCTAGTGATAGCTTCCACTTGTATTGGGAGCCGAATGTCTCGACAAGTATGTATCATGACGAGTGTTGAGCCTGGGAATGGTCGTCGTCATCATCACGGTTACTGAAGTGCTCTTTCCTGCGCTTGTTGTCTGCTATGCTCCTCTCAGAGCTGTCTATCACCTTTTCTTTCGTCTAAGTCGATGAAATACTACTGGCTGTACTTCTTTTTTTTCCGAGAGGTTCCTAGCGTGAACGCCGTGTGGATTGCACGGTACGGTCATGCGCAGCTGGCGTCTTCCAGCTTTCATCTGGGCGACCTTTGGTTGCCTATCTGAGCATTATGCTCTGCTGTGTAGCTCGTTTTTTTCCTTTTACTCAACTTGGTATGTGTAATGCTTTGAGTTCGAGTGAGGTTAAACCGGAGTTCGTAAGGGAGGTTTGTCATGGACTATGAATCATAGTTATGTCTCTAGTAGCAACATTATCATTCTATCCCCAGCGCTATTGGAACAGCATTCAGGGGGTTTGCAGTCCGAAATCCGGACGTCTATTGAACACACGCTAGAACGTTCTATCCTATGGGGCTCACCCTTCCCGTTGCTTCGAGTGTGAGGATAGTGGGTTAAATTTTGAAGTTGTAAGAGGATTTTAGGTTTCTGAACAGTCTCCTCACATACGCTGAACTATTCCAAGTTATGTCATTTACCGTACCGGTACTCCAGACTGACCTGATTAACGATCATATGCACCGCAGCACAACAATTGCGTTCGATCTGAGAACCGCTATTGATAGAACCGTGATCGCCGTCAAGATAACAAGAAGCCTGGCAGTACGTACGTACGAGGCGTGATCGATATTCACGTGAGTACGTAGCTGAACAGTCTCCTCACATACGCTGAACTATTCCAAGTTATGTCATTTACCGTACCGGTACTCCTGACTGACCTGATTAACGATCAGATACACCGCAGCACAACAATTGTGTTCGATCTGAGAACCGCTAATGATAGAACCGTGATCGCCGTCATGATAACAAGAAGCCTGGCAGTACGTATGTACGAGGCGTGATCGATATTCACGTGAGTACGTAGCTTTTTTCCTAAGAAGCCCAATCCGATGAATAAGGTTGTGGTTCATTGAGTTACTAGTCTTCGCCGCTCTCCAATGGACGTTGAGTTCTCGGGACTAGTACATCTGTTTTACGAGTCGTATCGTCAGAATATTCAGTTCTAAATGCGCGTCATACTCGCTGTTGCTGCTCTCATTGCGTTCGTCATGCAAGGATGTGAGAGGTGTCCTGAACCCTGTCCGTACTGCCTGGGCGTCTGCGTCACAGACGGTAAACACGGCTGCAATTGCATTCTATGATATGTCACCCCTACAAATCTTTCATGACCTTGCGAAGGTGTGTAATGATTTGCTCATGGTTGTAATAAACCAAGCTGTGATAAGATCAAGCAGTGATTCAGCCGCGTTCGTCTCATGAAAAGGCTTACTATTACCTGTCGCTCATCATATTGTCCAGGAGCCTCAAGGTATTGAGGAATTCCTGGATAGTATATTTTGAATATTTGTACACCCGTCCCGTCCAGCGTCGTTCTCTTGTGGAGTATCAGCATTTGGTCTGCTTTGTCAGACATTCTGGAAAGGCTTTTTTCTTGTCAAACACGAAGCAACCTTGCGTTTCACGAGAGTGAATCATCAACATTTTTCTAGCAAGGCTGTAGGATGCAGAGGTAAGTCATGATATTTATGAATATATTGCCAGGCAACAGTCGTTGTTGATTTATATCGCTGATTCGTCCACTATGCTCAGCTCCATCTTCATCAGGCGAGACCTGCTGTCAGCAAGTTGCTGACAGCAACGTAAGAAAAAATCTTATACTAAATTCTTGAGTTGGATTTGGTGGTTGAGTGTTTGGGTCATCCAGTCATCGATTACACCTGATCGGTACACGCTCGAGAATAGTCATTGGCCACTTGTTGACCATGCCGTTGGTCGTCATCAATATGGGAGGTGGAATGATGTAACATGGGCTAGCTTACTCTCGGTGTTGACGGCTCGCTAGATGCCGTAGGGTCTTGCTTTGTCATGAGAGGGCATGTCACATCACATCGTGTTCGGGTTGTGTAAGTTTGAGAACTCAACTTGAAAGGCAGCGTTAAGTCTTATTTAATCGATAGACGTTGGAATTCGAATACACGATTTGGAGAGCTTGATTCACTTAGATATATTCTGAATCAGCGTCTGGAGGCTCATAACATCCCTTCAGCTAAGAAGCACCGAGTCTTGATGTGATACGCGCCATGTTCGAGACGTAGTAGTGTTCCGATACGACAACCCGGTATTGATAGCTATTGATAGCGCGTGATCGCCGTCGTGTGTAGTGAAGGCGTGGGCCATTCCCTTCGTTGTGTGTTCATCTTCTTCCGGACTTTCTATCAGGAAGGATGCCCACGATCGGCTTGGATGTCTCATAATGTGCAATGGTTGCTCTTAGCGCTTCCACATAGTTGTGGCAAGGATATACTCCCCAACACAAGACAATCGCCACATTGGAAGATGCTCACAGGGTGGATCCATATAAATGCGATGTTCACATGTCAGAATCGACATTCATCCTTGGGGAGTCAGGAATCTCGAGTGGAAGTGCGGCCTTCGACTGGGTCACTGGCGTATCGACTCCATTGTTCCTCTCTTCCGCTTTCTCCCGTGCGATTTTGGCCTTCACTGACTGCCAGTCAACCTGAGATCCGCAGGCATGAGAGCTCTCTTAGATGAGACACTGGGGACTCTTGACTACGGGAACTTCTGCTGCGTATCTTTTAAACTTTTCATTATTTTCCGAGTGTTTCATCGCCTCCAAATGCCTCATGCGGTAGGCTAAGACAGTATCGACATGAGTACGGTGCTGAACGGCGAGGTCCAGAGCGGCCTCCCAACGGTGCAGCCAGATGTTGCTGAAATACGTAGGGGTGTTTGAGCTGATATCATTGATTTATACAATTTGATCGCCCTGTATATCTTCCGATTAGCGACCAACAACTGTATAGCTTCGTTAGCACGTCTCGACAGAAGCATCATCTCCGCTTGCTTGACTATCGGATCTGGCTGGTTCTTAGCGTGTCTCAGCATGGACATCTGAGAATCGAGCTTGGTCCCTGTATGGAGGTATTCTACCCAATACAGCCGTCGAAATGTCTCATTGCACTTACAAGGTTCATACCTTGCAAACATCAGATATCGCAGCCAGAGCAGTTTCGAGAGTGCCTCCAGCATCATTGACCTTCATCACCATCGCAGCCAGCGTGGCCCACAGTTCTTTCACTTTAACATATCTATACCACACTACGAACAACAAAGACCAGGCCGACAGCGTCTACCGGCACAATTTGACAGCCTTATCCCACTGGCCCTTCGCTCTTAGCTTGTACAGTAGAGACGGATAAGGAGACACTGCAGTCATCGATCGACCACCGTAAGGGCTCCTCAGCAGAACACGAGTGCCTATAGTGTGAATCGTCCTTGGCAAGAGTACTGTGCATACCAATAAAGCTTTCCACAGTAGTGTCTCCTATACCCCAGAAGCCGGCAGAATTTCCTTCTGTTGCGGAAGACTGCCGAGGAATCTCAACAGTCTCTATCGTGAGATTGAGTAGTTGTGGATCAGCTGAAGTAGGGTTGATCACCATTAGGAAGACTACAACTCCTACTGAATATGCACTGGGGGTAGTTCCACGTGATAATGTGATGGTCGACGATGCCCACAAGCATATCGGTGCTGTCATTCCACCGGAAACTGGACACCTGTCAAGCGAAGGTAGCCTCGGTAGCACAAGCATAGTTGCAGACCATGGCCTTCAGCTTAGGCATCTTATCCTGTCCAGATGTCTTCATCGATATGTACTGTGGATAGCCAGCAGTGAGCCATAGATCCTGATGGAGGAGTCTTGCGGTTGACCTACGGGCTCCCACTTGGCAAGTACCCCATTTTTGTCCAGAAAGGCGAGCTTTCTGTCGGCTACGTCCCCTATCTGTGAGAGGCCAACTTGTGTTACTTCAACTGATCACCATATCAGAATTTCTGTCTGAGAAAGCCCTCGATTTCACCATTGTGAGATAGCGTCATGGGGCCCTTCCCAGAGGACCCTCCACCAGACGATACAAGGTCATACACGCAGAGGCTACATGGGTTCGATGGGTCGACATACCTGTACGAACCAGTGCAACCATAATAGATAGACCGTTAGCCTACACGAGCGTATCCTTCGAAATCGTTACAGTGAGGTGAGTGAGGAAGTCCAACCTCTGCTGGCTGGAGGGCCGAAGGTAGGACACTGACAAAAGCCGTCCATGGGTTGTTTGCTACGACGACAGGGGTGCTCACATCTACTCCTCCTATCGTAAGCGTAGATGCCAATGCCCTTAGCATCAACCAGACAGAAGATCTCGCTACACTGGACAATGAGGGAGGTCGGATCTACACTTGGAAACTCGGCGTGCCATGATCGATCAATTCCGCCACCGTTGAGATCTTCTACAATTGGATTGGTCAACCAGGAAACCGAATCGGCCTCTTCGCCAGTCATTCGACGACTGTACCTGACCATAGGACGACTTGCGCTATTCACGAGCTGGGAAGTGATACTACACAAAACACTGAGAAGAAGTGGTCACGATGAGATGACCGTAGCCTATATGGAGGTCGGTAACTCGATCAGTGAAGTCCATGGTCTCCTCTGACGAGATAACTGCGAGATCTGAGAGTCTCGAAGCCTTCACCTGTCGTCTCTACGGTGTAGTCCTTAATAACAACGGTATGTGCATCAATGAGTACGACCTCCACATTGAGCCACGAGCAAGTACGGCCGATCACACTGATAGACAAACCGCAGTTCTCATACCGGCTGGCCAACTCTTGCTAAGGACTCAACTCCGCGACTAGGACGGATCCGTCTCCCATACCCATGATCAACTGAGTACCATCCGGACTCCAGCAGAGGGCGAACGGAGAGCAAGCACCGGGACTCGTATTGCCGCATTGTTGATACAGGGCATGATCGAGACCAGAGAGGTTAGTGTCTGTTAGAAAAATCGAGTAATAGTAGAGAAAAGCAGAGCCAGGACCAGTGTGTGAAAAATATGCACATGGTCAACTACAAGTGTTGTTGATGACAACAGGGGGAATCCTCGTTGGTTTTTGCATATTTTTACCGAATTCGTATGTGAATTTATATGGGGAACTCCTAAGCTCAGGCGAGGAAACACTCCCGTTGCACTGCCCATAACTCACGTGAATGCCCCCATCCAGTAGCATCACATAACTTGATCATATCGGATACTCCAACGGCCAGGAGTTTGCCACTGGGGGTCCACTGAACCGCTGTAGCAGCATGCTCCAGTAGATCACTGCGATACAGTAGCTGTCCTGTTGCCTGCCATATACGGTATCTGCCGTACCCGTCTCGACAACCACAGTGAAGCCGACGGGCTACCGGCAGTCCTCACTGCCCGATACTATGAGCTTTGTGACGGGACTCCAGTCCAAACAGAGCACCTAGGATGATTTGATGGTGTGGTATGGGCAAGAGGAGGATTACTTCACCACAAGGAGTGCCTTCCGACCCGTTATCGACGGCTTTCCACTGGATGAGACCACGACCAGCCACGAGAGTCTTCAAATGCATCGATGGCCCACATGTAAACCTTCGAAATCCTCTTGTTGTGATCTCATGAATGTCATCCATCTACTCACGCTATAGTCTCGCTATCTGGGGACCAAGCGGCACTAACTACCGCTGTTGACACCTGTGCTAGCTGTGAACGGATCATACCGGTGCGAGACCAGACCTGGACTCGACGAATGGAATGTCCGATATCACAGGATAGGAAGGACCTTCACAGTTCCATCCTCACCACAGGAACAGAGTAATTGGCCCTCATGGTCCCAACGGAGGTAAGTCACGGATCCCCTAAGACCAACATCTCGCAATGTTGTGTTCGAGTAGCAGCAGCAGCTCACGCATGCTTCTGTTGAGCTCTTCTCTCCTCTTTCCCTGATGTACTGTTGATGAACCGAATGCTACCGTCAGAGCATCCCAACACCATCGTCTCGTCACCTTATACGATGGTCATATCAAAATGACCACAGGGATGCTACCTCGATAAGCAGCCATTGTGGTGATATGAGAGTCTACTGTGCAGAGCTCGCCGAGTAGAGTGCCCTGAGGGGATTGTCGATGATAATACAGTTGACGGAAGGTGACCAAGTACATCCTTCTGGTGCCAACGGAGGACCCTTTGATCATCTCCTGCAGATATGATCTCTGCCACACCCCCCGTATGGGAGCTAGCTGCCTTTAGAGCTACTCCGGTACACATGCCTCGATGACCCTCGCCATCAGTGCTCGTAAGATTGCGAACAGCAAAACGCATAGTGGAAGGAATAGGTGTGACTGACTTGCAGGAAGTTGGATCGTTACTGTTTTTGGTATACGCTGAGCTCATCTGAGATTGTGCGCGATGCTCGACTCATACTAGGACTGAACTGATTGACCAACAAAAGACTATTGAGGACGGAAAACGGTATGTTCATACCGTTGCAATTATGCGTTGGCAAATACTCAGATTACGCGAGGGGAACACGGTACTTGTGCTCGAAATTGAGAGGCGCTGTGGTAAGTTTCTCCCAGGGAGAATCTTTGTCGACATGAGAGTAACCATCAACGCAAAGGCCTCCCGTGTTACCCTCAGAGCAGTTTAGAAAGCCCCCAGAAAATTGACTTTTGTCTAGCAGGTTGAGCTCCTACACTTCACGTTCACCATCACAACTATAACCGACTGTACTGGCTTCCACACACTACCCGTAGTTGGGCACAATACCACGCCAAGCAGGAACTCTTATCAGGGCTATCCAATGCAAATCATTATTAAACACATTGTATCATGGGATGTATAACTCGTGCACACTCTCCCTACTAAAGGGAATCCGCTTCCACCGTTGCCAAGTTTCATTGATAACCACCGCCCCCAGCGAGACGCCAAGTTCAACAACAGCAGCAACACCAGCGTGATAGACCAGTGTCAACGATTAATTCCATCGCCAAATGCCATACGATACGATCTTCAACTGTAAAACAACAACACTAAATATCCCTTATATTACTAGGCATGCATGATAGAAAAGTTCTTATGAAATTAGCGAGTAAAATTACCCATACGAAACTACACGATAATTGTGGTATGGGATCAATCTAAATCACATAATGCAGCTTCCCATGATGTCCACCATCGATATCTGACTAGTAAAGTAAGAGTGTGGAGTCCCTCAACAAACAGCCCACCTACAGTTGCTATCAGCCGCTGCAGGCGATGCAGGTTTCCTCGTCCTCTTGAACCTAGACAGCAATACCCCACTCTACCCCAACCATAGCCAGAGACCACCAAGCGGCTCTAGATTGAGAATATATGTGAAAAGCATACTTGGCGTCATATGTTCGCTATATTGTGCCAAGGGCCGATAATGTATACTCAGTATTGCCCCAACCAAATTCACTGTCTACTATCACTACTCATGTCCTTAAAATCTCAGTCTAGGAGAAAAGCATTGGCGGACGACTCTTCCTAGTGGAAACTAAAATATTCACGTTTGACATGGTAGATAATACGAGCCATGAGTAAAGCGTTTATCAGCTCCAACTGGTGCCCTCACTCCGTGCTACATATTGAGGTTTCAAAGGTGACGACCTGGGCTTCAAGGGTGACTCCACTGTAACCTTCTTAGCATCCAAAGTGAACTGTATGGCATCAGCTGCAGCCTTGGTACGTAGATAGTACCTTGAGACCATACGTGACCAACTTCCCTGTGGAGCTGATACACGTACTGTCCAGTTTTTAATCCCAGTTTCCAGCCATAGAAGTGCATGGAGGAGAGCTTGGCATTAGTACAGTTGGTCATATGTATATTCAGTGACTGAGATTGGTCAATATACCTACAAAATGACATCATTGAGCTCGTTCAATCACATGCCAGCCTACGGTCCTCGCCCAGCGGCCATGTCCAAGATTTTCTTCTGTTTGATCTCCCACACCGTCCTATAGAGTGCCTAAAGAACAAGAACAACGAATCCGCTTGAGAAGACCATGACCATGCACAACTATAACTTTTCCAGGTCAAGTTGAAGTATAATTTTTTACCCATTTAGTTGATGTTTTACCTTTTTCGTTAACATTTTACCCAAGGCTTCAATAAAATACCAACAAAACTGACGTTATACCCGGTTTAGCTGAAAATTTAGGAGTTTCATTTAGCCAAGGACTTGCGCAGGATAAACCATCAACCAAATGGGTAAAAAATTAAACTTGTCGGTAAAAAATTAATTTGACCTGGAAATGCTGTAGTAGTCTCGTCTACCTGTATCTCCATAGGAATTTCCTCTACACCTTGGACCGATCCCTTCTTCCTGATGATCTTATCCTTGATCTCGTCGTTCCACAAGCCCAGCTCCATAAGGTCATCCACTAGGTGACGGTTCACTTGCACAAACTCACCAGCGAGCACCTAAGTTACAGAGTGATATCGCTAATAAATCGGTCAATAACTCCTACACGGCGAACGTATATGTTCTGGGTATAGGGCTCGAAAGCCTCGTTGTTTCCAAGTATTTGCGCAGTACCTGTACATTGCAGCCATCTGACGGTGAATACAATGGTGGAACTCACTAGCAGTAGGCATGGGCGCAATCAACAATGAGTTACGCATGCCGTTCTTCTTGACCTCCTCTTTCAACGAGGCCCAGTCCCACCTACCCGAATCGGGTGTTACATCTACAACAGAATGCGCAACTACGACTGACCACAATAACGCCCATTGTTGTTACCCCACATATCGAACTGGAGGATGCCCTCACTCGCTGGGCTACCTTGGAAGGTTTCATAAGGTCTACCACAAAGAATACAATACACGCGGCAATCGACACGTAACAACTCACCCATCCCTCTTCGCGAGTTCCATACTAGCTTCACACGCGGCATGATAAATAGTCTCAAAAATATCATTGTTCAACTTCAATGCCTCCGGAGATTCATATGGGAAACGCATGAGCAGGAATGCATCAGCGAGGCCCTAACCAGTTAACAACAGTGAATGAAGCGAGCCAGTATGCAATATACCTGAACGCCGATACCGATGGGCCTATGACGCATGTTGCTCTTCCTGGCCTCTGGCACAGGGTAGTAGTTCCGGTCAATCACCTACCACAATAGTCACCGCTCGCAAAGGGGATTGGCCTCACCTTGTTGAGATTTTTGGTCACCACCTTTGCAACTCGATGAAGACGGCCAAAATCATAAGTGCCTGCTACAACATATCAAACTAGTCCTAGTGCGATCGATGAACTACGGGTCTTTTTATCAACGAACATGTTCAGGGCGATTGAGGCCAGATTGCACACAGCCACTTCATCAGGGCTGGTGTACCTGACAGAGCTCTATAACGAAAACCACAATTCAATTGCTGCACTACTCGATGATCTCACAGCACAAGTTGGAACATCTGATGGTCCCGAGGTTTTTCTGGTTGCTTTTACGATTGGCCGAATCCTTGTACCTGCAACGAAGTGAACAGTGCTAGAATACATGTCTGGTTTCCTCTGCTGAGCTCAGGAGTTTCCAAAGCTAGACGAGTTTGGAAAGAAGTGTACAGAAACCAATGAAAATTTCCCGAAATTCCCTCAGAGTTCTCATTTTTTCACCAACACATGTAGTTGACCATGTGCATATTTTCCTACACCTGCAGCAGGCTCAAAAAATTGCAAATATTTATCCCATCGGAGAACCAACTTACAGCATGTACGGAATGCCGGTCTCTTGCTGAGATTCGAGGATCTTGAACCACAGTGACTGAGCCTTCACCGTTTTCCGACCAATACCATCCTTCTCGTACTTCTCATACAATGCCTCGAACTCATCACCGTATCTGCCGATCGAGATACCAACGACCACAGACCTGCAATGCTCCACGTACGTATCCTGCAAGCCAGGAGCTTCATTCGGGCAGAACAATGTCCAGTCACCGTTAGCCATAACACGCTTCATAAAGAGATCAGGAATCTGAGGACCTCATTAGCCTTCAACTAACAAGGTAGGCAAAAGCATACCCATAGTGCATAGAAAAGGTCGCGAGCACGATGCTCCTCCTTGCCATGGTTTTTCTTCAAATCAAGGAACTCGAACACGTCAGCATGCCATGGTTCCAAGTACACTGCAAAGGACCCCTTCCTCTTGCCTCCACCTGCAAGAACACCATCACCTCTCATCAACCGAGCGTATCCTCTCACCTTGATCCACATATCTCGCGGTATCGTTGAAGACACGAAGCATCGGGACTATACCATTCGAGAACCCATTCGTTCCTCGGATGTAACTCTCTGTAGCTCTAATACCCGTGATAGCAACTCCAATGCCCCCAGCAGTCTTCGATATCATCGCACCTAGTTCACATATACCTCTTCCTGTGAATCCACGATCCTCAGCTTACACTGTTTCAAAGTGTCATAAATACCCTCGATCGAGTCCTCCTTGATCGAAAGTAAAAAGCAGCTGGACATCTGCGGGTGAGGGGTACCCGAGTTGAACAATGTAGGAGTCGCGTGAGTGAATACTCTCGTTGACATCAAAGCATATCTAATGCCAGCAACAAGGCGAACCCTCTAGAGCAGTAAACCAGCAACCCTTTTACGTCTCTATTGCCGCGTCCACATCATCACCATGTATGCCCACTGCCACCCTCATGATCATATGCTGTGGTCGCTCAATACAAGTCTTATCAGAAGGTCGTTTCAACAGATACGATCGTTCCAAGGTCTTGAAGCCGAAATAGTCATAGTCGAAATCACGATCATAGTCAATCGCCTATCACCAATATCATTCCACACAATCGCGTTAAAACCTTGTTACCTTATCGAGCTTATCAGCGTTCATCAGGACTAAGTTATAAACCTCTTCGCTGACCAAAGGACTAGAGCGTCCACGACTATCTGTGATGTTGTACAACTCAGTAACCTGATTATCATCAGCTACAACCAACTATAATACCACTCCACCCACCGTTTCTGAGAAGCTCTCGTGAGTGTTCTTATGCAGATTGCTCACAGCGATCCTGGCAGCCAACGTGGAGAAGTCCGGATGCACTTGCGACATGTAAGCACACGTTTCAGCCGCTAACGAGTCCAGCTCCTGAAACAAATCAATATCGATGACCTCTGACGTGGGCAAGAGCCCAGCATCCCACCGTAGTAGTGACACCCGGGTAGATTCCTTCAGCAACCTTCTGAGTGATCTGCGTCACATCCACATAGTCCTCATTGAGGCCTCTAGTCAACGGACGAATCCTCTACCAAAAACGCGAATCGTCACAACAGAGATTCCACACCAGGACACACCTTGGTGATCTTATCGAATTGCACATCGGCCTTCTGCCCATTACGTTTGATTACGTACATAACCATCTTCGGGTGAGTTTTCAAACCAACAACAGAGCAAACACATCCCTATTAAACAGCCCCTCTCAACCCAACATATGCTGATCCAACGCATTAAATAGTTCCCCGATAGGATGATACACTCGCGCTCACTCACCTTCCTACAGCATCAGTACGACAACAAGCTCGAACGTGACACTCTTCACCCCATTGAAGAATGGATAAAAACAACTTCACTAATTCTTCGAGGAGCTAACCATACACTCTCCAACACATGGCCAGAGGCAGATCGTCCAATGACAGACCTAAACCCTCCTCGTCAACTCCAGGACAAGTCATACCGACTACTTCTCGTGAATTTACATACTACTCAAACCAAATTAGGATATAAACCACAGTATTGCATTCCAGAAAAAGTACAATTACAAAGGATACACACATCGGAAACCGTTCAACCGTAGAGGGTAGGCACTGGAACAAGTTCCAGGGCTAGACTGTGGTCACGACTGGGAGGAGGAAAGCTGCACTCAAGCTATATAATATACTCTCGACGATCTACTTCTTAGTAGTGTGGAAGTGGTCACTGTAATACCTACATAGAAAGCAGTCGATGGAAATTGACCAGCGGGGAAGACCTTACAAGTCAGCAATGTAGCTCTGTCGGTCAAGGATGGCGAAGTTTTTCTCCTGCTCCTTGAGAAATTCAGGCTCCTGCGATTTTCGGGTCGCCTCATCAAGCGCCGCGAAACGGTTGAAATCCGACTTAGTCTAAAGAAGATATGCACAAAACAGAGTGGAAAATTTGTAGCTTACGATTCGCTCAAAGTACTGTTTGAAATTAGGGTCATTAAAACGGGAGGCTGCCCCCATGCATCTAGTGAACATAGTCTTCACTGTGGGCGATAGCGCATCCAACTTAGCCGGCAACATTGACATTATTGATGATGAAATCGGAAGAAAACAATGTAATTTTCTAGCAGCAGTTATACATCGTTGGCGGCGCTGTATTAAGCGCGCGCCCGAGCGATCGATTTCACGATAGGATAGACCATGTTTATTAGACATCAAGTAGCAGACGGCTATCCAATAATTGCCGTGAAAGACACCCCTTTCATTCTGGATGGACCCTGGCTGACCCGCGAGTCGCCACTGGCGACCCTCGAAATGTTAGAGCTCATGCAGAAAGTGAGGACCGTGATGGAAGATAGAGGGCATCGAATAAAGCATCATCGCGATATTCTAGTTGTTAAAACTGTAATGCAACGACAGTGCAAAATTCACTCAGCCGTACTCATCGTTGGTGATTCGGATCATGTCACCTACCCATCATCATCATTGTATTAATAACAAGTCAACATATGTAGCGCTGAAGTACATCTCACGTTAGGAGAGTGGACTACAAATACTAAGTAACAGTAACGTTATGAGCTCATTATGGGCATAATGCACCAGTGCTCCTTCTCCTTCTACTCCTCATTGCGCTTCCTCTTGGGGCTCCAATTAGAGAACGGTCTACAGCAGCAAGATTCATCGTTACATTCTTGGGTCGTCTTCAGGCACCGTATGCCGATCTCCTTGAAAACCTTACGGGGACCTTCAGGGAAGTCAACCATACTGAAACCCAGCTCGCCGACTTCCCCTAGATACACGCTAGGGCCTGCTGTACCTACCTATCGTGATGCACACTATCAGTGATTCGAGCCCCTCACCATCATCCCTATCATAACCAACCAGAAAGTCAAAGCGGTTGGCTGGACTGCCGTAGACACTTTCAGTGTC